TTGCTGACAGTGCACTCTGTTCCCTTGTTCATGTCAATGATGAATATATTGAATAGTACTGGTCCCAGTTCCGAGCCTTGAGGGACTCCACTAGATAGAGGCCTCCAACTAGACTCTGTCCCATTGACCACAACTCTCTGACTTCTTTCCTTCAACCAATTCACAATCCACCTCACTACCCAATCATCCAGACCACACTTCCTCAGTTTAGCTGCGAGGATGCTGTGGGAGACTGTGTCAAACGCTTTACTGAAATCAAGATAAACCACATCTGTAAGACACTAAAAAGAAAAATCAATTTGTCTATATGTATCCCTCCACATTGGTGACAGCCCCTTCTAACTGCAAGACTTTGCTACCATGGCAACAGGCCTCTGCCTGCCCCAAGAAGAACAGACAACAACAGGTGCACATCATGCCTGACTCCAAGCATGTAGACCACAACCCAGGCCCAGGATTGGAGGCTCAGACCCTCTGGAAAATTCCAGGACAGTACTGGGCATGCTCCCCACCAGCAGGTGCGAGGTGTGGACATGTAAACTAATTCCAAATATGGAGCAAGACACCACTATAAAAGACAGAAGCTGTGAAGAACTGGGGCTGGCTGGCTCTCTCATCTTTTGCTGTCAACAGACCCCTTTGCCACCAGACATCAAAGACCCTAAAGACTCTTCGGATCGACAGGACGCTGAAGATCCGTGGTAGCTATCTGGTGACTCTCTCTCTCTCTCTCTCTCTCTGACCTTGGTGTCTGCAGAATGTTCCTCTCACATATTCTCACTCCTCTCTCACTGCAATTACTGCTGCGCAACAACTTTTTTTTCCTCTCTTAAACATGTTATCCCAGAGGAGCTACCACCATTGCTGATTGGCTCGGCCTTGGCCAGCGGCAGGGGGACCTTTTAAACCTTTTTTTTTATCAGGCACGGGGGAAACTTCTAGCAACTTCTCACAGAAGCCACTCCTGTAACCCCACCCCCCGCTACCAAAACCTTGCCACGCAGACCCATTACACATAGTGACTTTAGGGTCTTATGGAATAATTCTGGTTTAGGGGATGTGAAGAGCTATAAAGCTAGCTTTTGTTGCAATTATGGACTGGAAGATGAGCTGTAATTTGAAATGTTAGCAAACTCTTATATAGTGAGGGCAATGGAAGCAATTTCAACATATTTGTAATAGAAAGCGTATGAGTGTGTAATATCTTACTTGCTAACAGAAACCATATCAAATCTCTTGGGATACAACAAAGTTCTGAAAGGTAGGTGAGGATGAAAGGAAAACTAACTAAATGTGACTACATTTAAAAAAAAATATAGCATTTACATAATGCCATTCAGAGCAAAAACCTTACCCATTAGTCAACCCTGTTAAAAATACCAAAAACTGTAAAAACCTTTGTTTAAACTACTTAGCTTGATCAGTTTCATACCTGCAGCTCCTTTATACTGTGGGCATTCCTTTTTAATATGACCTTCTCTTCCACAGATAAAACAACGTTTTTCTCTTAAGTCTCTGTCTTCCAGGTGCTTCCACTTCTCTGTCGATTGCCTGGGAGTCTTTTCTCTTCCAGTTTCCACTATTACCCTTGCTGCTTTCCTCTTCTGAGGTATACATAGATTCAACTTTCCCTCCTTGATTAAGCTTTCCTTTTCTGTTGTTTGTTTGTCCTCTGTGCTTCTTTTCTCCTTGCTTTCTGTGTACCTCTGGTTTTTGCTGTCTTCGTAATCACGCCGTCTTAGTCTGCAGGAGCAGAAAAATGCTGCAGAGTTCATAGGTCTTACATACAAGCACAGAGTAAAAAAAAAAACCCCAAAACCAAAATCAAGTGCTGTCTAGAGAGAATAGGAGTATTTAATGTATTTCTTCAGTGAGTTAAATAAAGGGAATTAATGTACCTGTCCCTTTGACTCACCTATCAAACAGTGCTACACTGATGTAACATATATTTAATAATTCAACTTTAAAATTGAATTACAATACAGCCTTAAATTCTAATAATTGTAGCTCAAAAATATAAACACAACAGAAAATCTGGGTGCTAGAGTTCTATTGCTAGGCAATAGAAGAAAAGGAACACTGAGGAAAATGCTAACGAAGTATAAAAAAATAGGGCTATAGTTCTATTTTTTTTTCTACTTGTACAATTCAATCAGAACTTCCTTCCTTCCGAAACTGTGTATATTCACAGTATCTCTAAAAGTCTCTTCTACTGGGAGAAGTAGAAGTTAGTTCTTCTAACATTCTGTGTGACAAAGATCTAGTAGTGGGGAAACAGCTACCCCTACCAGACTGGTTTTATCTAAGATCTTTATACATGATCTAGAGAAGGAGGCAACAGTGAAACATCCAAATCTGAAGAGGACACTAGGCCTTTTCAGTCAGTCAGATGCAGTGCTAATGGCAAGCAACTTGAAAATACCTCACAAAACTCAATGAATGGGGAAAAGAATGGCAGAGGAGCTTCAAGGTCAGCTTCCCTTTTTAAAAAAAGGTAAAAAAAAATACTCGAGGAACTACAGGCCAGTCAGTATGACCTCTAACCAACAAGATCATGGAGCAGTTCCTCCTGGATACTCTGCTAAGGCACATGGAAAACAGTCAGGTGATTGGTGACAGCCAACATGGCTTCACTAAGGGCAGAAATGTGCCTGACACATTTGGTGGCCTTCTATGACAGGGTCACAGCATTGGTGGATAAGACAAGAGCAACTGACATCATCTACCTGGACTTGGCAAAGCATTTGATAGTGTCCCACACAACATCCTCATCTCTAAAATGGAGAGACACGTATTTGACAGGTGCAGCACTCAGTGGGATAAGGAATTGGCTGGATGGTCACACTTAAAGAGCTGCAGTCAATGGCTTGATGTCCATGTGGAGTCCAGTGACAAGTGGGGTCCCTCAAGGGTCCATATTGGGACCAGTATTATTTAACATCTTTGCTGGGGACAGGGACAGTGGGGTCAAGTGCACCCTCAGCAAGTTCGCAGATGACACCAAGCAGAGTGGTGTGGTTGATACTCTAGAGGGAAAGGAGGCCATCTAGAGGGACCTTGACAGGCTGGACAGCAGGGCCCAGGTGAACCTGGTGAATTTTATGAACCTCATGAAGTTCAACAGGGCCAAGTGCAAGTTACTGCACCTGGGTCGGGGCAAATCTCAAACATGTTGAGCAATGAGTAGATCAAGAGCAGCCCTGCAGAAAAGGACTTGGGGGTGCTGGTGGGTGAAAAACTGAATACGAGCCAGCAATGTCTGCTCACAGCCCAGGTGGCCAACCACATTCTGGGCTGGATCAAAAGAAGTGTGGCCAGCAGGTCAAGGGAGGTGATTCTGCCCCTCTGCTCTGCTCTGGTGAGACCCCACCTGGAGTGCTGTGTCCAGCTCTGGGGCCCCCAGCACAAGAAAGACAGGGACCTGCTTGAGCAGGTCCAGAAGAGGCCACAAAGATGATCAGGGGGCTGGAGCACCTCCCCTGTGAGGACAGGCTGAGAGAGTTGAGTTTGTTCAGCCTGGAGAAGAGAAGGCTCCGGGGAGACCTTATAGGAGCCCTCCAGTGCCTAAAGGGGGCCTACAGGAAAGTTGGGGAGGGACTCTTATCAGGGAGTGTAGTGATAGGATGGATAAAACACTAAGAACAACAGAAGGCATCATTTTGATGCTACATTAGGCCACAGTGTGCCTACATCTGAGTAATGCATGTTGGTCTGGTCTCAACATTTTAAGAAGGAAGTAGAGTTAGAAAGGGTACAGAGAAAGGCAGCTAAAGTGATGAAGAGTGCAAGTGTTTAAGGAAGAGATAGTAAAAAGCCCAACACTCTCCAACTTGGAAAGAAGCTAGGGAGTGAACACAATCATGGCTTACAAAATCATCAAGGCAGTATCCTTACTAACTAAACCCCACAAGGCTACGCCTATGGAATGCTTACAAAACTAAAATGAGATTGGCTTTAAACAGATGAAAGAAAGTATACTTCACACATCAGGTAGCATACTTATAGAACTAGTCACCATAGAAGACTTAGGAAAACAGGAGAATCAGGTTCAGAAAAAGCAACCAAACAAAAAGGACAAAATCATAAGCAACTCCAGTCCACAAATGAGTACAGCCAGCCCAGGGGATGTATATGCTCTAACATCTCTTACACAGCAACTGCAGATGCTGGGGGAATGCATAAGATGAGATTACAGTAAACAGCCAGCTACCTCCTATTGCAATGGCTGGACAGAGGACTCAAATGTATCAGTGGTCTTACCCTGTAAAGCGTTTATGTTCTTAGATGCAAAATCCCATTGACTTTTGCTCTAATGTTGTATAAAACATAGCTGCGTACACGCAATGAACTGGGGTTTCACTCCAGAATGTAAGATTAAAAATCCATTGCATCTGAGACAGCAGTTTAGACACTAATCAGATTTCCACACCACTATTTTCAAACTCTCATCAGCTACTGTACTCGCATTTGCTGAAGTTGAATAAATTCCCAGATTAACAGTCTCAACAACAAGTTCACAATTCTCTATTGTGTAGCACAAAGCCTACTCCACCTGATCTGAGTAAGTGGCTTTTAGCTACTTACATAGAAGTGCAGGTTATGTTTAATTACAGCTTTTAACATAGACAGACTCTAAAAAAAGATTAGATCTTTCCATTCACCTTACAGGTGAGCACAAAGGCTTTCAAGATTTTGTCCTCTTGAAGTTTTATTTGCTGATTTTCACTATATTACAGTGAAAGTCTTTAAAGAGCTTTGTCTTAACTAGGAAAAAAAAATCAGTAGATCAGTTTTAAGTTTAGACAGTTCATAATATGAAGAGCAGGACGATCAGTTTAACATTCTTTTGTTACACCAAAGATAGCTGCTGAATTTTGGACATCTGGTTACTCAGGATCAGGAAACCTTCTCTTGGATGTAAAATAGGACATTGTTCTCATACGTATGTGCTTAACAAAAATAAAGCTGTGACATTCTTGTCTTGTTTTTCACAGCATACAGCCCTGCATTCAGATTCTCTTTGACTACTGCTTTCCTATATAATGAAGCACACAGTTAGTATTACTACCTTAAGCTAAGTAGTTTTTCACCCCTCTACGAAAATATTCTGTTAAAAACCACTACAGATGATGGCAAAAGTTAAGTAGTGACTCAACGCAGATGAAAAATTTAAAACAAAACAAAACAAAACCACCACCAACCACCATTGCCAAAACTGGTATGGATACATTTTCATTTCAACAGTAAAGGAAATATTCTGCAGCATGTACAAGTTTTGCTTTGACATTCTATCCTAATCTTTCTTCTAAACAAACTTAAGGAAATGCTCCACACAGATGCCAAAACTATACTCACTTTCTTTTCATGGGACAATCTCTCATGAAATGGCCAATTTTACCACAAATTCTGCAACATCTATCATTTGGTGCCAATTCTCCTTCTGTTAGTACCTCTGGATCAAAAAAGTACTCCTGAAAAAGAAGTCATGCATTTAAAATGAAAATCCATACACTTGGGAATCAAGACAGATAAATAAGTGTTAAACAGCAGTTAAGAGTTACAGAGAATAAACTTGGTGTGTGTGGCTGAACTCCTGAAAGACCTGACGAGATTAACCGACCACCAGCCTGTTCTTTACAGGCAGCCTGCTGACCATCAGGTCTGCAAGCTCTTCTTTCAAACTGCAGTTTTAAGAAAGAGTAAGCTGGTTTTGTTAGGGACTAAGATATGTAAGCCTGTACAATGAAGCTCTGACTTGACTAGTATTCTGCATGCCAACACATTTGACATGCAAAAAACACAGAAAGAGTACTCAGTAATAACTCCCATAAAGATTTTGAGAGTACTGTTGAAATTTAAGAGAGAAGAGCTTAAAGAGGGTGTAACCATAATCCTGCAAGTGGCAGGTTATACACCCAAGAGCACGCTCATACTGGTCTTAGAAGCAACTTACCATTTTTGATTGATATTCTTTAGGAAGTGTTTTTATAGGGGTACCAAATACTCTTCTGCCATTGATAAAAGCCTTCATTATAAAATTTGTCACTGGGGAAGGAAAAAAAAAAAAAGGAAGAAAACATCATCCAAATATCAAACATCAAACAAGCCAGTAAAATAAGATTTTAGACAAGATCTTCAATTTGTACCCAAATTTGTACCAGGAGGCTTACTTTTTCTTGACAATCCAGCTCCAAGATTGTGGTTCAAATCAAAGGGGTCTGTACAAAAAGCATTACAGGCATTAGACAAGTCCACAGCAAGATCAGCAATGTATACACACACATGAACAACTCAAGGCAGCTATACCTGATGCAGAATTAATATACTGAAATTGAACTGTCTGCAAATTTACTGAAAATAAATTAACTCCATGGACAAAGGATAAGAGCCGTCCAGCTCTGAACTGAAGTATTGTAAAAGAGTGCATTGAATGTGTGGGCAAGAGCATAGAAATTCTTTCCATGAAAGTCATATTGGTCAGAAAATGGTTTAGGGAACATTTCTAAAATGTGTCACTGCATTTTCTTCATAGAAAGCATGGTATTACTTATTAGTGTAATCATACACAGGGTTAAATCGGTCATGTAAATACAGACTCAGCTAAACTTAGTACTTGTGAGAAAACCTCAATTGCATTACAGCTGATTTCCAAAGGATTTGGTTAAATCTATTTTTCTGTCAGTTTCTGTCATCATCTAAAGTATGAAGGCTGCTTTGCAGCTCCTTTTCAGCAGAGAAATACTAAGAGTAATTTTTAGCACTACTGAAACTCAATGGGAATTTTGTGATGATTTCAAAACATGAGTAAACAACAACTTACACTCTAGTAATAGAAAAATAAAAAAGCCTTGTGGAAAGACCAAATTTTTGTGTGGGCACTAAAGAAATTCCACATATTCGTGTTCATGTGCCTTTACCTTCAATTACAATGTATCTGGAGGTCCACTGCTTCTTGAAAGTTGTAAGTAGATTTTTTCTCCTAATGCAGATGACATGCTCTTTAAAATCAAATTCTTCTGTGTAGAAACGGAGAAGTCCCAGCCACAGTTGCCCAACAGATTCAGTGTTTTTGCCACAGTCTGGCCAGACAACTGACTGAAAGTAACAGAAGTATTTTTACTTCTGGTAATTACATTAAGTGGAATAATTTTCCTAACTTGGAAACTCAGTTTAAGTCTTATTTTATACAGAAACACAATTGAGTTACACCAGAACACTTCCTTTTACAATTGGTATTAATATTTTTTTTTAAAAAATAATGAAACTTCTATCATTAGGTTTTGCCTGTTACAGAAAAGAATTTAATTCATTTTATGTGCTCATTTAACACAGAATTATTCAACAGAATTATCCAGTTATGACTAGATATGCAGGTGGTATTTGTAGGAGTTATGTCCACCCAGTAATGTGACACACCAAGCAATTAATCATGATTAACACCTTAAAATAATTTTTTAATCTATTTTTTTCAGATTTTTCTTTTTTTTTTTTTCTCTAACGAATTACAATCAACCACATTCTTAAAGCTTTACAGCATGGGATTGGGATTTTCAAAGCAATAGCTTTGATTTCTACATTCAACCAACATATCTGAGGACAATTCCTTTTTTAAAAGGAACTCTTTTACATCTGCAAAGCTACACATAACATCATTTCAAATTAACCTGGTTTACTCACCAACTCCTCTATCTTATCAAAGAAATAAACATTCCAGCCATCAACTAAAATTTCAGGCTTTTTTGGTTCTTTGTAGATCTGAAAGCATAATATTAAACTCATTAGAAGAGCCCTTCAGATTCAGCACTGACGTTCTTCTGGTCAATACTGTGCACAGATACGTGTTTCTTTCTTGATATACTGTACCTCTTGAAGAACAGGAATGACAGGTGGATTTCTCTGCTGAAGAAAATAAAGCACCATAAGAGTATATGCATAAGAAGAAAGACTACCTCGAGATGCATCTCCAATGTCACATATCTAGAAAAAGAAACACAATTGGTATCTTTTACGGTTATTGTCTCTTGCTGCAGGCACTACTGCTTCTAGAATGTCTTAAATATAGTTACCTTTGTAAAGACTTTCATTGTGTAACACAGATATTTTACTCTAGGATCAATGGCTGCATATGATGACAGGAGTCTTGTGTTATGCAAGGCCTATAAAAATTAAAAAGTCATATAGAAAATACAGAAGCTCTGAATAAACAAAAGAATAAGCTGAAAACCAAAAACTCCACGTTGTATGCTCAAGAAATGCAGATGTGAAGCCCCGCATAGTAGAATGTATATTGAGAAAGGAAGCATTCAATAATGATGTTATCACCTGCTCTGTTAAAAAGCTGATCAACATCCTTAATCTGCATAGAAGCGGTGCAAAGCAGCATTCACAGAATGGTACTTCAGAAAGGGAAGCATTAATCTACTACCGCATTTTCAAAATATTTGGTAGAAGGTTAAGTTTTTGAACTAAGAGGTTTCAGCCCAGATATGTAAGAGCTATAAACTCTATATGGATGCATAACTTCAAGAAAAAAAAAACAACCTTTCAGACTTACTTAGTGGTTGAGGTGTCTTCCTCAAGACTCCCCTTGATCTCATAAAAACTTCAGAAGTTTAATACTTGGATCTAAAACTTACTTGTCTTTGATGTTTCCAGGAACTGGCTTTTGAAGTTCAGAGATATTGAAAAAAAACCCCAAAACATTTTAAACATATTTGGCCAAGAACTTGTTTTCTGTAAATTTTAACACATGTTCCTGTTCAGGGGAGCTGGATTCAAAATCAGTATTCCGTGTCTCAAAGCTAAGCAGAAGCCATGACAGGAAGTGGAGTGTAGAAAAGCTAAAGTTATATTATTTTGTCTTTCTTGTTTACAGAAAGACTTAAACACCTAAAGCTATTACTGAAAAACTAATATATTTTCTTAGGGAAGGGACAACTCTCAAGTTGAAACTGTGCAAGTGACTCCACTCATAGTCAACAAAAAAGTTGTTCAGAAATCTAAAACTGCAATATGTAATTTGAAACAGTTGATTATTAAACACCAACAAAATAATCACTTCAATCCCAAGAAGCAGACCCACATTTTTCTTAAAAACAAAAAAAAGAAGAGATAACCTTACCAGAGTATTATATAAACTGATGTCTACTTCAAGACCACTTCTGACATGTAAAAATTTGACAATTGGGACTTTAGCAGTTGTTATAGGCAAGACATTTCTTAAACCTAGGATGAAATGTTTAATTACTGAATGACTGTAATACAGTCGTAACAGTATCAAATGCTCTACAAATAACTCCAAACTGTAGTAAAAATGCTACAAAATAAAATCTTAGTTGGTATCAAAATTGTATTTTGGTTATATTTCAATATTTAGGCATTTGTCAAATATGATTAATTTGCCAAATATAATATATACAAATATACACTTAGCCCCCCCAATAAAACAAAGATCAGTCTAAATGTTATAAAAAATAAGCATAAGAGATAATTGGTAGTTCACATATTAAATTCCTGTGAGATACACCAAGAACTATAAAATCATTCCCATTGCAAACTTGCATCAGCCTACCTTTTTCCTATTAATGTAGCTGTATGTTCATTGCCTAGTACAACATAACTACTAACTTGAAGCCTCAGGCTTTAACTTAAGGTTTGTTCTTATGCATATAAGTTACAAATATACTGTCTGATTCAGATGTGGTCCTATATCATTATCACCTCATAGATCTACATATGGAAACAAAAATAAACCCACATGTTCCCAACATATAACCTCACTCTTACTAACATTAAGCTCTTTGATATAGTTTTATCTTCATGATTTTAAGCTACAGTGCCCCAGAACATCCTCACTACAGCAACTGAGGTCACATAAACAGAACTGCTTATTGTAATTTTCAAGAAAGTTACCTGACTGTTTCTTGAGAACTTTCGCTAAATCTTCAATGATTCCAATGCAATCAAGTCCCTAAGACATTAAGAAAAAAAGTTGAAAGTTGTATCTGCTACAAATATTTTAGGCAAACCTTTTATTAATTGCCATTAAGCTTAAAGCTGTATACTTGAGAATTTCATATTATACAGAATTACGTGAATATCAGAAATTGTTTCAAAATAGCACTTGTAAAATCAACACTAGACAGTACCTTAACATAGGCTTTTAAAAAGTTTATATTAGGCATAAAAGGAGATTGATGTCCTTTTCCACTGTCTTCCATTTCTAGTTGTTTATGCTACAAAACATGCTATTTGTCTGCACAGCTAACGCCAGAAGTAATGGTAGTGCAAAATTCAGAAGAAAAATGACTACTGAGAGTAGTTCTTAAACTCATGCCTAGACGAACAGCAAACCTGCTAAAACTATCTGCCTTTTTTGGCATCTATTTGTGTTTCCTTCTAGCCTGAAAAGCTCCTATAAAAGAATACATTTGTTACACCATATACACAATATAACCATAACATTCTGAGTTTTCAAACTACCTCAGCAGTTTCCAGCCCATCCATCATCATACAGATATCGAGGTCACTTTGTTTGAAGCCAAAGCCATTTTTTGAGGAGCCAAACAAATTCAACTTGGTTCCTGTAAGAGATGTGATAAGTTATAACCACATATCAACACAGAATCTCAAATTGTATTTAGCTTCAAACCACTGCATGTCTTTTAATACAGGCATGAAAACATTACTATCTTTCTAGGGTACATCAAAACTTATTCTCCTATCAACTTGCTGATGAGGAAAGAATCTCTACTTTTATTGGTTCAAACGAGCAGGCTGACATATCCAGAAACAAGTTAAGTTTTCCACTAATTAAATCATCAGCATGCAGTTCCGAGCTGAAATCTGATTAAAAAAGTTACACTTCTCTCTACAGAGATTTTCAGGATAAGGGACTTATCTGTCCACACACCAGGCTCCAGACAAAAAAATCTTTTGCTCATTTTAAAAGGCCATGAACTGAAGTCCAGGTGTTACAAGTAAGAACTCCAGAAACCAATGAAAAAAATCAAATAGCTAAGTTCTGCAGATAGGTCAGATGTGCCCCTATTTTAAAATATTTCAAAACCAGTACGTTTCAGTAGGAAGGACTACAAAAAGCTTGTTGTTTGTAACAGCAGATACCACAAGAAGAAGTCTTGCTAATGAATAAGGCTAAAATAACAATTATAAAACTATTCCTCTACTGCTTTGATTGATTTCTCCTTAGCTTGCCATTGTTCCTTCTTACTAATGTGTTGTATACATGACTCAGTCAAAAAAGGCTTAAACCAAAACCTTAGAAGACTTAAAACAGAAATTAATGAAGGGAGCCTACCGGAAAGACATGAAGGGACTGTTTATCAGGGACTGTAGTAATAGGACAAAGGTTAACAGTTTCAAACAGAAAGAGGGTAGGTTTAGATTCAATATTAGGAAGAAATTCTGTATGGTGAGGGTGGTGAGACACTGGACAACCTGTTCGAGTGAGAAGATGTAGCTACCCCCTCCCTGGCGGTGTTCAAGGCCAGGCTGGATGGGGCTTGGAGAAACCTAGTTTAGTGGAAGGTGTCCCTGCCCATGGCAGGGGGGTTGGAACTGGGTGATCTTTAAAGGTCCCTTCCAACCCAAACCATTCTATGATTCTATGAATATAGGTTACATTTTCAAAACTAAATTGTTTATGATGCTGATATGACAGGTTTTGTTGGAAAGCACTCAAGTACGAACACAATAAAGTATAAATATAAAGCTAGAACTGCCTAATTACCTGGGAAATCCCGTCTAATGAAGTTTTCCAAGTTTTGTCTTATATGTTCCCGAGCCAGAACCTCTACAATATTTGGAGCAAAGTCATCTTAAAAAAAAAAAAAAGACAACAATTTAGGCAAACTGATCTGTAGAAAGAGTCAACAGCAAAGATTCAAATGAAAAAAGTGAGGGGTTTACAGCAGAGAGGGGAGAGAGAAAAAAGCAAGAGAAGATTCACATGTGAAGGAAAGAAAGCAAGGATGAAGTAGAAGAGAAATACCTGTTCAAAGAAAAACATTAATTAGACAAATAATGATTTTTTCTGGTCAGAAATGGCGAGAGAGAAAGAAAAGTTGTGTCACTCTGAAAAGAACAAAAGTGAAGAAGTGTTACCAAACAGTATTTTGACCCCATTTTTTCAAGAATAGTGAAGTCTTTGTTTAGTAAAAAACCACAAGTTAGGGAACAGTAATGAAATTCAAAGTAGATAGAAATGTAAAAGCATCAGTCAAAGAAACACACAAAATTAAACTCTTAGAAATTATATTAAGATGTCTAAATGAGTGCGCGGAAAACAAACCTAAACATTCTGTATTTCTCTAGATACAAATTACTCTGTAGTCCTATTAAAACACTTACAAATCTTAGAATTGTATCTAAGAGAGCTGGATGCAGTGTAGCAAACAAACTGGCCCCCCTTTATAACATCGTTAGCCTGTGGTTATTTCATTATTTTTTGCAATTCCTTTTCTACACACCACAACATTCAAAGGAAAAAACTTACGATAACACTGGACACAAACTTGATCTAGAATAACCGAAAATTGGGGTGTCAGCACGGGCAGTGGGTCAAGTTCAATTTTCTTGAAGTCTTCTGGACAATCCCTCTTTAAATGACCTTCCCGTTTGCACACGCTACATACTACTGTAGGAGCCTGCATGAACAGAAAGCAAGATCCACTTTAAAAACTATTAATACTTTAATGAATTTGAGCAACACTTTCATATAACTGGTAATAGAACATAAGCAGTATGTTTACGTTCTGATACAGCTTGCTTACCTTGCCCTTTGTAAAAGCTGATTTACTGAATTCATAAAAAAGTTCAGATTCTAAACACTGTTCTATTGCTGTGTTCTCTTCAAAAAGGCTTCCCTTCTCAGTAAGATCCTCTTGACTCAAACTGATCCTCAGGGGTCCATCCACATTTTCTTCAAAGTGTTTGTTCTCATATTTATGTGGGAGTGAAAAATCTTCTTCCTCTGACAGTGCATCGTCATCTCCAGAGCCGGTGTATGTGGTATCTAGTTCATGTCCAGCTCTTATAACACCACACTCTCTTCGGTTTAGAAGACTTGTTTCTTCCTCCTCTTCCTCCTCATCATCTGAGTTAATCATTTGGGGTATCTGACTCTGTGCTGAACATATGAATTGTTTTGGAGATCCACCCAGTTCATCGGTACCTTCAGTGCTCTCCTCATCAATGTCAATCTTGTCATACATCACACCACTGCACTCTAAGACAAACTCATCACTCTCTGTAAGTGCAGCATTTGGAAAACCTTCTAAGTCTGAAGTACTACATGTGTCTCTATCATGCTCATTCACTGTAACAGGGAGATCTCCACTGTCAGTGTCTTCATCTATTCCCTGCTCAGTAGTCAAGATATTATTCCATCTTCTTTTTTGTTGTTCATGTTCTTCCTCTTCCTCCTCTTCTTCCTCTTCATTTCCACTCTCTGTCTCTACACAACTTGGTTTAAAATCCTCATTATCTCCAGAAATAACTTCCTCAATTATACAGTCTGAATCTTCATGGGCAATTTCAAAATGACTTATATCAGCCAGTTCTTCTTCTGTGAAGCTTTCTGAGCCATCACACAGTTTTGAAGGATCAATTCCATGCACCTGTGGCACACCTGTAGTCTCTGTTATACAATCTTCCACTACTGCTGTGTTTGTTCTACCACCCAAGTTTTGCAACTCAGAGTTTTCATGTGTTATAGCATCTTTTCCATGGTCCAGTATTTGGGATTTCTCTTCATTGGCATTTGGAGAGGATTTTTTGCTCAATTTTGCACTTTTTTTGTGAGGCAAGGCAAAATACTTGTAAGTTGCTCTCAGGCAGTGAAGAATATATTCATACACCAGCTGGCTGTTCAGAGTTCTTGCCACATTCCTTTTGACTGAATACGGGTCTAGTAGAAAGAAGAAGTGAGCCAGCAGTGAAGGAGTTAACTTTTTTAAAAAAGAATAAACTTATAACCTTACAATATTTGAATATACTACTGTAGTTACTCTAAAACACTATGTAGGGACATAGGACCTATGAATTGTGCTGAAGACAATTTTAAAGTCCACTTAATTACTTTTGAGAAAGTTGGAAAAAATACCCAAGAGAAATACTACTGAATTTTTTTCAAAACATATTCTAGCATATTATTGGGAATCACAGTCCAAATTTGAAGAATTCTGAGTTACTACACACAATGTCAATAGCCAAGACAGTACCCTAGAACATTAAAGTACCAGTTTGTTGATACTGAGATACATATATATATATATACCTTCCACAGCAATGCGCTTTTTAGGCCAGTCCTTTGATTCACGAGACACTGTTTCTTTGAGTCGAATGCTAATAACCAAATCAGCCATATTGAACTCCAAGGCATAGAAACGAAGTAGTTCTACCCAAAGCTGGCCAGCAAGTGCTGAACACTGCTGTCCTGAATCAAATACTAAGGGAACCTGTCAATTACAGAAGAAAAGTTTAAATAACATTTAATGCATAGATGTTTAGCTGTTACACTTCTTTGTATTTAATCTGTAATGTAGTATTGCAAAATTTATAGTTGATTCTATGCTCCTGCAATTGCAAGAAAAACTGCAATTAAAAAATTGGAAAAGATAGTATAAACTCAGATTATAAAACTTCAAAACGAAAGACTGCAGTAATGGTAAAGAACAGCATCAATGATTAGTAACAATTGCTTAAGTGTTTATGCCATAATTTATGAATTTCTAAGAAAATATCACATCTAATCTAATTGGACAGAATGGATTACATAGCTAGCTTTTTAGCAAAGCCTAAGCTTTATTCTTAGTTGTCATAACATGCTATCATATAGTGATACTGTTTCTTGCATTTGTAAGAACAGTTCAAAGTTAAGAGGAAATATTTTCCATATGCTTAATCTAATTCTAAGATAAAATTGCTTCAACTCTATAAACTCTATTCTCCCCCGACCAAGTAAAACCCAGGATCTTATCAAAAGAGTTTGAAATAACACCTAGCTTCCTGCTAGCTTCTTTGCACCAAGAGGTAAACATAGTAAGACTTGTATCAAGCAGTCATGTAATCTCTTAGTTCAGCTCATTGTTTTGCAACATAAACACAAAACAGAAATAGAAAATGGTTCTTTTTTTGAGAACAGCAATGACTGCTACACTATTACAGAAGTACATTAAATAGTTCAGACCTTGCCCCTTCTATGGGAAGTTTCTTGTGGCAAATCAGAATCATCAATGGAGTTATGCTCCCAAACCACAGCATCATTGTCAACTTCTTTCAGATGAAAATTAGTTAATTTGTTTAATGAGAATCCTTCAATCTAAACAAAACAGAAAAAAGAAACATACAGCTAAACATGATGTGAACTTTAAACCTTACCCCTGCCATAGTAGTAAGCCAAATTAAAACAGAACGAAGTTTAAAAATAGCTGTTCCAGACCAGAACATGCCCCAATCTGCTTCTCTCTTCTCATTACACTTCTTTACGAAAAGCTCTCAAGAGTTCAGTGCTTTTGGCATGGTATCCCTGTGTGATATAAACTTGGTCTTTGCACATTACACAAGCATAAATACGTATTTTTTTATTTATATGGCCATATAATCTAGGACATTTCTCCCATTGAGTACAGATAGCGGAGAGGCTTTGGGAATGAATCAGTTGTGTACTGAAGGGAACTGTTAACTGCAAGGCCCAGGTAATTGTTTATGGAAACTGGGACATGCACACTAAATATAACAGGTGACTATAAGAACAAAAATGGGTGCCATGAGTATTACACCTGGATGGTGTCCTGGAGAATGGGATTCTGGATTTGTGTCCAGATACAACTCCTGATATTAAGATACATTTCAGCTTGTAAATGCAAGAAATACATGCTCTAAACCCCTAGTCTGACCCCTTGGGCAGACAGAACACCAGTGTGTGCTCCCTAACTGCTCCTAACCAAAAGGTCTACCTTTTGAAGAACTGTCAAAATCCAAGACACTGTTTTGGGATGTAGCTATGTGAATTCAGAGTTCTCAAGGGTCTGGAAGAAAGGCTGAAGAAGTGAGGAAGTAGACAGTTATGAAGTGCATTATCCAATGCTCAGCTCTCCTTACTCACAAAAGCGGCAACAAAACACTTAATTCAATGATTAGGATTGTGAATTGTGTCCTTACAGCCAAGCACACAAAAGTGAGGTGTCGTCTGGCTGAATTCACATTCTTTCTGAATTCCTGCAGAAACGCCTGGCTTGTAGCTTGCTAAGAATAGCAAGAAGCTGACAGGTTACATACCACCACAAGTGATTGGTCCTCTCATTCATACTATTCAGTGTACTAATATACGTACCCATGATCCCAAATAGACAGGTAGAAAAGGCTCTTTCCTTTGTTGTAGAAAGAAAATAACCATTAAAGCGAACACATAAGGTGACAAGCCTCCCTCTTCAGGTCGATCAACACAGCACAACTGTAAAAATAAGTTGTGCAGTCATTAAGGTTTCAAGTGACACCATGAAAAATATTCTTTCAGTTACTGTTCAGAAGTCTCTCACATTAAATACTGACAGAAATGCAAGACATCTCTGAGTTCTTATGAGATGGACTTTGCTCTCAAGGCCTGCATATCTACTAGAGTCATGTTATTACCACAATATTTTAGTGCAAGAGCCATACGAAAACAGACAGCATACAGCAAATTTGCAAAAATGATGACTCATTTTATGTAAACATAGTACAAGTCAAAATTTTTTCAATCTTTTTCTTAAATAATACTTTAATTGCAGGCACACAAAGTTTCAGAACAAGTTATTTCAATTCACAAGAAAGTTTTCATCTACATATGGAAACAAGCAGCTTTTTCCTTTCATTTTTCTTCATGATGGATTAAGTTGATGGGAAACTCCATTTCATATACATTCCTCTAACTTGTTTGGTAACAGAGCAGGATACTTACAGTTTGCATGCCACTGGCTGAAGCTTAAAATTCCACTTTTGAAATTTAATGTTACATTAGAACACACAAATGATAGTTACATCACTGTCCTAGGTAGGTTACAGTGTAAAATGTGCCAAAAGGA